GAGCCGGGATCTTTCGGGTAGTCCTTCTCCTTTCCCTCCTTTCTTCTCCCCCTCTTTCCGCCCCTCCGCGGGCCCGGGCCGGACCCCTCGTGCCGCACCAGTTGCTCACGTGCTTCTGTCGCGGCAGGGCGGGATCGTGTCGGGATAACGGGATCGCGTTCTCTGTGCCTGCTGCGTTTGTGCATTTCTCATGGTCTGTGTGATTATTGCTGAGGCGCAGAACGCGGGATGAATGACCATGCGGGATGTGCTACTTGCACACATGGATACAATGTATAAAAGTTTGGCTAACATTTCCTTTTTTTTTGAGACAGATGTGACGTAATTCCTTTCTCGCTTTTTTTGCTGGAACGCTGGGGATATAAAATTGCCGATAGCTTGTGTGACGTTGTTGACACAACTAGATTTTATTTTGCACAATTTCTTACTTGATTTTCCCTTGGCCCCTTCTTTTTTCTCTTGTTTACTATTTAGTAAAAATAGACTGCTTTATTTCCGTTGCTCTGTGCACACGTGGTGTACACCTACTCTGTGAAGGACATTGTCAACAGAGCCTGTAAGAGTGGACTCTTCCATTTGTAAAGTAAAAATATTATTTACATGTCTTGTATGTGAAGATTTTTTTTCCTTTCTGTTGCTTCAGCAACACCAAAAATCCCCAAACACAAATCAGTTCCCTAGACCTGAGATCGCTGTTCTGTGGCTTTGTTAAACTTTCATACGAATCTCCCTCCCAGGCTTGTGTTCTGAGTGCTCTTAGCAGTCCATATGTGTGGATGTTTATCGTTTACCTGCTAGTCACGGTAGTAAAAACCATTCTTAAGCTTAATGAATGCTCTGACAGATTCCTAAGCAACTTAAATAGGAAGGATTATATTGGCTATTTATCTGTAACCTAAAGTTCCTTGAGGAGTCTAAAAGCAAGAAATGTAAATTACTTTATGACTATTACAGCTGTGCCTCAAAGAATCTTTGTTTGTGTTGACTGTGGGTGATTCTAATGAATAAGACAGAATGGTGAACTGGGGATGCAATATGTCCCTTAAGCTGGGTTAGGTGCATGTTTTGTGGGTTTTTTTTCTAATTTTCCCATTAACAGTGGGTCATTAGGCACTCAGAAATAGTAGGGTGTTAGTAGCATAAAACACATTACATAGGAAAAACTGTTGATGAAATTTTTTTCCATAACCCAGAGCTATTAATCCAAGGCCAAGCCTTTGCACAATTCATGAGGGGTAGGATTAAAACACCCAGCACTGCATGAGCACCTTTTTGTTTCTTAGTGTGCCTGTATGTTGACTTGGAAGTCATTTGTTTTCAGGTATAATCATATTTCTTTATTTTATGGGATATTACAGTTATTAAGATTGAATTGCTGAGAAGTTTTAAGCACAGATGTGAGTACTTCATGGTTGGGGTACATAGCAAGTTTGTGTTTTCTTTTTTTCTCCTCAGGAGGCACACGAGGACCACGATACTTCTGCTGAGAATGCAGATGACTCTAACCATGATCCTCAGTTTGAGCCCATAGTTTCTCTTCCAGAGCAAGAAATAAAAACTCTGGAGGAGGATGAGGAAGAGCTCTTTAAGATGTGAGTAGAATACTTTTCACTATTATCTGAATGTTCATTAGGCTTAAACTTGGCAGTGTTTATAAAAAGTGCAGAACTTGCAGCAATCTCTGTATGAAGGCTGCCTTGGTTGGTCTGCACTGTGATGGCAGAGATTGAGTGGGAGGTTGTTGATGTTGCCCCAAGAAAATGAAGTCTGGAACCACAGAAGAGAGCTGATAATGTGAATCTGGCTTTAGCATTGTTTGCATGAAAGAAGACAACAACTGAAATAATCATTATTGAAATTGTGATCACAGAATGTGAAACGAGTGTCTTGGGAGGAAGGAAATGAGATGTGTGTGGTGTTGCTGCCATGCATCCCTGGGTAAAGGGTGATGTACAAGGTGCTGAAATGATAAAAGCAACAGCTGCAGTATTGGGGCATTTGTGGCAGTTCCTGTCTGTTGTCTTCAACACAGTTTATCCTTGGATTGTGCTTATTGTCAAATCATGATAGCTTGATCTGCCTGAAGAGAAATGTAGTCTTAAGGCTTAAGGATTTTGAATTTTGATCCCTGTGTGCTGGCTTGAAATAGGTTTAAAAATTGTGCTTTTGCTTAATCACAGAATGGTTTTGCTCATCTGGAAGAGAGATTTTAGTTCTCCTTGCACAGGTTCTGATAACTGAAGTGATGGTCAGTGATGGTCAGGTAGTATGGTGAACTCTGGCTATGGAAAAACCTGTTAATTAGTTACCTGAGTTTAACAGTTTGCCTACACCAAATATGTTTATGATTCCCTAAGAGTGTCTAGAACCTGTTGAATTTTAGTAGTTATTACATAATTTCTAATATTTTATTATTAAATTTTAATTCATCATATCATTTTCTGAATGTGTATATTGAAGCAGAACAGGGGATCTTATTAAAGGAACTAATTCCTTCTTGTATGTGGCTTTTAAAAAGCACTGTGCTCTTTGGTCAGGTGTGATATTTTAATACCTGCAGGCTAATTTCATTTTCTGTTCTCCCAGGCGAGCGAAGCTCTTCAGGTTTGCATCAGAGAATGACCTTCCAGAATGGAAAGAGCGGGGAACTGGTGATGTGAAACTCCTGAAGCACAAGGAGAAGGGAACCATTCGCCTCCTCATGAGGAGGGATAAAACCCTCAAAATCTGTGCAAACCATTACAGTATGTTATACATTTCTATAATTATTCTTGATTTAAAAAATAAGCTTGTAGAAATGAAGTATGGTAGTTTCTTGCTCTTCATACAAGGCTTCAGGCATCAAAAACCATGAGGGGCTGTTTTTATTAATGGAAGGGAGCTGGAGGTTTTTTCTTTAAGAGTCTGATAGTGCTGTAAGACTAACAAAAGTCACTTCAAAATTTAACTGTGATAGACAGGCATTATGTGGTTGCTTCCAGTGTGTGTGTGTGTGTACTTTATTTTAATGATTAATAAAGTGTTGAACATATAGGCCTTAATACTGTTCAAAATAAGAATTAAATGTATACTAGCTCACTTTTGTTAAAGAGTGAGAAAAACCACGATGTAATAATTTACTACTTTGAGCTAAATGTCTGAATTTCCAAAACCAATCCTTAACCATCAGAAAACAGACTGAGGTGCTAAGCAAGTCTGAGTCTGCCTTTCTCTGCTTGTGAAATAAACTGCAATGAACGTGTTATATTGGGCTGACTCATTCAAAAAAGAATCCTCTTTGAATTAAAATAAAACAAAAACATTAAAGAGCAAGACAGGCTTGAAAGTCAGCACATCTTGCAACAAGTAGACCAGTTTGCTGATGTTTTGCTTGCTTTGCTGATACTCAGATGTTTATATGAGGAATCTATAATGTTCTGTGGAAATTTTTGTTTCGGGAAATAAATGTTGCATATAGGAAAACAGAATTGATGAATTTATGGTATTCATGTCAAAGGTTGTTTAGATTTTTTTTTCCTGGAAAAACTGCTCTCCATATAGATTTGTTTATTGAATTTATGCTGACTCACAGTCAGACAAAAGAGCTCTCTTCATTTTTGCAAAGCATTAAATGGAGCAAAATGTAGTTTGATCTCTAGATGTTAAAAATGCAGGGAAGGGAGTAGACTCTTCAGATTTTCCTGACAGGAGAAAAAAGCCCTGCTTAGATTTTGCATGTCTATAATGTAAAAAAGTCTTACAGTACTGTGGGAAGTAACATTTCAACTTCTCCAGTCAGTCAGGTGAGGTCATTGTAGTGTCTTGGAGGGACAGGGCCCCATTTACTGGGAGGGAGACAATAGATTGAAAAGGCAATGTGTACACTTTGCAGCACCACAGAATTCTGTAATATCTTGTAGTACAGCTTAAAACTGATGGGAGAGGTAATTAACCTGATGACTAATGGAAGGAAAAATGTTTTTAAAATGAATTTTGGTAGAAGAAGAATGAGTGTTGTTTGTCTGGATACCTTTTCCTTCTAAATCATTTGTCTGTACTGCAGAGCTGTGCTCAGTGCCTGCATCTCTTAGTATCACAATCATCTGTTTTAAGCAAAAACTGCATCCAACTCTTTTTCCTAACAGCAGTGAATCCAGCATCCTCTCAAACAGTACTTAATGGCTTTGCATAATTTTATTTGACAATGTAAGGAAAAATATATATGAACATCACTGTCTTGTATTCATCCCAAAGTAATTCTGTGTCAAGTGCTTTATGTAACCATCACAGCTCGTTTTCACTGAGATTTATGGAGGCTGGTGTGGAAAACATTTGCTGTCGTGCTCTGTACATCTTTGAATGCTTTTGTTTCAGTCACACCCCTAATGGAGCTGAAGCCCAACGCTGGGAGCGACAGGGCGTGGGTGTGGAACACACACGCTGACTTTGCAGACGAGTGCCCCAAGCCCGAACTTCTGGCAATCCGATTCCTAAACGCAGAGAGTGAGTGACTGCCTGTACCCTGTGATGGTACCCTGCTTTCTAAATGCTGCTCTAAACCATTGCTGGAGATGTGCTGTATCTCAGCCCTGCATGGTAGGGTTAGCTAATTCATTCTTTATCTGAGAGAAGTCTGTTCATCACTTAACCTTATCTGTTGACAACAGTGCAGTAATTAGGTCTGCAGTAATATTTGTACAATTTCTGCCCTAGGCACTTTCTTAACCTATGCCATTTCATGTAAGTGCTATGCAATTAGAATAAAACTGCAGGCAGTTAGGAGACTCACATACAGCTTACTTTCATGTAATTCATATTCTCAGTCGTAGTTAAGATTAGATTTTTGCATTAGAAACAAGGAAATCCTGACCTGATATTTCTGGCCCGTCTGCATTAGCAGACTATCTGGGTTGGTTTTTCTTTTTTTCATGAAGTATGTAGTGTCTTTTGTTTTGATTAACTGCAGCCCTCAGTGAAAAGTGCAAGTCACACCCATCATACTAGTTGCTGGGTTTTTCTGGAGTGACTACAGTGAGTACCAGAAAAGTAATTCTAATAATGGATTGGCTAGGATTAAATCAAAGAAGTGTTTGGAGGCAGAGGGGGTTTATGTTGTACTGTTTTGTTGTTGGGTTGGATTTTTTTTTTAAAGGAGCAAAATTAAAAAGTGTTGCATTTCTTGCTTTACAATTTGCCACACAAGTTTAGTGTGGCAGCCTCCTTTTCTCCTTACATACTTGATGAATCATAAAAGTGGTTGAGTATTTTAAAGCTTGATGGATTGGACTACATCAGGAAAGAACTTAGTATATCTTGCCCTTTTCCTTTGCCTTAAGTCTCCAATGTCATTTTGTTTAGCCAAATAAACCTTTCTGGTCCACCTGCTTAGTGCTTGCTTCATGATCAAGTAGGAAGTGAAGGGACAACTATTTGCTAATCTCTAAGAAGTCTTTCTCTCTTTCTGGTAGAGGCTGTTCAGTTTATTGAATGTTCTGTCTTGAGGGAATAGTCCTTCCCTCCTGTTTGCCCTTTGCAGCACTGACTAAGCAGATGTCAGGTGAACAGACCCAGGTTTGTCCTTCAGGTGTCTCTGCTGTTTGGGATGCTGCAAAGGGAATCGATACCAACACTCCCTGGGCTGGTTACTGTGTGTCTTCAGAATTCCTGTGGGCAACAGTGACCTCCTGTGGTCAGCCAGCCCAGCCTGGGATGCCAGGCTAGTACTGCCTTGCTCATTGTGGTGTCAGGAAGCTCCTTGCCCAGGCCCTTTTTGCTTGTGTTACTTGTGTAGAGACATTACTGGGATTTGATCAGCTGCTTGCAATGGTTGTTAAATCGAGTGGTGGCTTAGACCAGAAGGTCATGAAGATTGTGCATTGCTGGCTCTTGCAGTGAGGAGAAGCCCTCAGGTACAGAGTCTGCATGCTGTGCTGGTGACACAGGCATTCTCTTCCTTTGCTGATGCTCAGAACCCCCAGTTATGGTCAGCTTGTGGAAGACTCTTAAGGTGTAACACAGCTGGCAAGGATTGCAGTTCAAAGCTAATCTTCAGGCTTTTGCATACAGTTGTATTAGCAGTCTCTGACATCATATTCCTATTCCTTTAGGCTACAGACAGCTGGGAGCTGCAATAACTACAAAACAGCTCCTGCTGGCATTACATTTTGAATATTTTGCAAAATAAGTTGCTTTAGTAGACATGCTGAAGAAGATGAATTGCTTTTGCACAAAGATGTGATTGAAGAATTTTGCATCTTGTATGATTTACTAGATTACTTCATAAGTCCCTACAAATTTGGTTTACACAAATCTTCCCCTAGGGTATCTTTCTTCAAGATTAGAAGTACTCAATGTTGTGAGGCAGTAAAAGTAATGAAAAAATATTTTATCTTCACTGAAACAGATGCACAGAAATTCAAGGCAAAATTTGAAGAATGCAGGAATGAAGTAGGCAAGACAGCAAAGAAAGGTAAGGTGCTCTCAGTGTGCTTGGTGCCATTTCTGAGCTGTGTGAGTGGCTCCAGTAGCCTGGAGTGTTGTGTTCCAGCAGACTCACTCTGTGCTGAACTGCAGCCTTCAGTTCAGCTGCTTTTCTGTCTGCAAGAGTAAGAGCTGACAGGAGTGACCATGGCCTTCCTTCCTGTGGAAGGCTGTTACAGTTGCTGTTGGGACATGGCTGCTTTGGAATGGCTGTCAAGGAAATATTTATGGCTTATAGTAAACAAATGAGCAGCAAACACTGCAACCACAGTGCTCTTTCTTCCTTCCAGGTCCCTTCCCCAAATTTTGCAAATGTATAATCATGCAAGTATAATATTTAATGTTTTTCATAGTTGTTAGTGTGTGTGAGGTTGTTCACAAGTCTAACAGATTATTGCACCTCCCTTTAGAATTGCCTTTGTGATGAGGTGTCACCATGTAAAAAAAATAAACATTTCTATCTTCCTTAAATACAGACTACCAGTGGTCTGCAGTCAGCATTCTTCAAGATATTTAGATTGGAGTTTTCCAGTCATAGGAATTCCTATGCCCCAATTTCAAACTGGGGAACTTGACTTTGGTTTTTTTTTTTGTTAAGATGCCAAGAAACAAATGGTTTGTCTGGATATGTTATTGGTAGCAGCACAGCTGGCCAGATGCTACACATTCCTCAGTTCCTGTGTAGTGATTAATGTATATGAGTGGTGTTTCTTGAAATCTGACATCTGAAGTAATTACCAGAGGAAAAGAAATGGAATGAGTCACTCCAGTGGTCAGTGAAGAATATCTTTATTTTTGTCCAATCCATTACTGCTTGTATGTAATACCTTTCCTAACCAATCTTTTAGCAGGCACAGACAAAAATGATAGTGCTGATAAAGTTGCTGAAAAACTAGAAGAGCTTTCTGTAAAGGAAGAGAGCCAAGAATCTGAGAAGAAAGACACCAAGGAAAAAACTGAAGAAAAGCAATAAAATCATCCTGGGCCTTGCAGTTTTTTCTTTACTTTTTTATTTCTTTTTTTTTTCCTTTTTTCTTTGTTTTGGTTATTTTTTTAATTTTTACAAGGGACTTTATATGGAACTGCATTCAACATTCACATTGTTTTTTCTAGGCTTTTGCCCTTTGGAAGGTGTCTTCAGAAAAATTCATTCCCCAGTCATGAAAATGTACTGTGCTAACTTTCTTTTCCATAGTGGAAACACTTACTTACAGTCATCCAAAAGAGTGAATAAAACAAACTTGAAAACAGCATCAGGGGACAGAACTGAGTTTTCTGTATACTGTAAAGGCTTATGAATACACTTGTTTAAATGAGCAACATATCATCATTCCTGTGGATTAAGTAGGTGAATAGACTTTGTCAGCAGGGAAGATTAGGATTGCATTTGTGTTTCTTATGACTTCTAAATTGTAATCTAACAGACCTTTCACACCTGCTGCTGTGTGTACTGAGCAGGGAATGTGCCTGTGCTTCTTGAAATGCAGCAGCCTTCTGGAATCAGGCAATAAGAGCATTCCTGGCACACTGCTGCTGCTGATCCATCAGAAAATAAAGGTGATGGTGAAAGATCCATGGTGAAAATCAAGGTGGGGGACAAAATTTCTTGGGCCAGATTTGAGAAGCATTTTGTTCTCACAAAATGAAATCTGTGCTTCCCCCCCCTGCCCTAAATTTTGATTTTAGCAGAAAGCTCCTGCTGTTGTCCCAGATCTTCCATGGTGCTGCTTGCTGACTGAAGGCAGCTGCAGCAGCCTGTTGTGCTGAGGGCTGTGCAAAGGAATCTGAGCTGTTTGAGCACCTTCCTGAGAGATTCCCCTTGCCAGCATATTGTTGTAGTCTCAAGAATGTACAGGTCTAAAATGTGTAAGCTTTTTTCCCAGGGCTTTGGAGCTTGTGTTTTTACAAACTGGAGGAGTTTTGAACTTCTCAGATGTTTGCTAGGGAGGCTGTCCTTGGAGAGCAGCGGGCTGGAATTCATTTTGGAACAGTTAATTATGGTGCACATGCTTTGAGGGACACCCTCCTTGCCAGAACAGGCAAATTGGTCAAATCTCTTCCTTGCAATTGTTTTTTGTTTATCCAATTTCAAATTAGTGCTAGACAGTAAGAAAATAAACTATAGTAAGCAATAAAATCAACACAATTAAGTCTGGTAGATAAAGTGAATTTTGTTGTTTAACACTAATACAAGGATTGTGTTAGGAATAGAGATGAAATTTTAAACAGTTTCCAAAATAATTATGAAAACTGTACAAAACTTGCTAAACTGTAAGACTGAATGATGTTAACATGGGATAGCAAGACCTTTTTGTCTTCATGAAGAGGCTTATAACTCAGTCAGGTTCTGCAGTCTACCTAAGGAAAATATATTTTTTAAAAATAAATCATGTCTTTCTTAGCACTGCCTTTTGATGCTACAGTGAATGAGTCTAAAATCTGGAACTGTAATTAAGGTACTCACTTCATTCAAACAAAATAATTCCTTTGGTGTTTTGCACGTTCCCCTTAAACTACAGCAGATATCAAAAGTCTGTTAATTAACAGAGATGGTTGAAAGGCAAAATAAAATGCTCTTTAGTGTTTCTGGTTTGGAAGTAACAAGACAAAGCTATTTTGAAGTATTTAACATTTGAATGTAAAAGCCAAATCTTTTATCCATGAATCACTGTAAATGATCTGATAATGTCAAACTGTGTCTAAATTGATAGAAATGACTTAAAAATTTCAAAATAAACTTAAATTTTCATTTAAAGGATTTGCTTTTTATTTTGAGAACTCTTACTGGGAATGCATTTTTAGTCTGCAGGGGTAAAGTGATGAAGGCAGCAAAATGGGTGAGTTGCATTTCACTGTCAAACATTGCACAAAAGGGAGGGGGCAGCACCTGAATGGTTTAATTTGTCTTAATATTAGTTATTGCTGACTCCTGCTTAATGTCATTACCCTTTCTTCTTCCCCTCTTACTTCAGCATGCTTGAATGACTTCAAGACCTTTCCATTCTTGTTAAGGTTTAACTGATCTGTGTTTACAGTTCCTGCATTGCAACAATGCTTGCAAGTCTTCAGTCTCAGAGAGCAAAGTTAAGAGAGAGCACTCAGTAAAATAATTTCTCTGGTAACATTTGGCTGAAGAATGTTTTAGTCCTCTAAACTAAAGGATGGTCATTCCATGTTCTGGTCACTTTAGCTGTTCTACACATTAAAAAGCAGTAAGTATTTTTAAAGTTATCAGTGAAATAAGGCTTGTTGTTTGGGCTAGTCATTCTAATGATTTAATTTGCCTATAGGTAGACTGCCAAGTGAAGATTTTTTAAAAGTCATTCATTTTTTATAAAGAAGGAAAATACAACAGTGCTAATAAAGCATTGTTGGGTGCTGAAGTATGCAATTCATACAAATTTTCTGCTTGCTTCAGGTTTAGAAAGATGCTATATAGCCAGGCTTACTGATCCAGTCTTTGGTGGTACAAATGGTTTTGTGTGTATGTGCTGAATGGATGAATGTCTGAGGACTCCTGAGTGATAAATTCAACTTTAAAATAGTTACATTTTGACAAGCATCAAAATAATATTTATTTGACAGCAAGTTCAGGTCTTAAAGAAGTCTACTTACAGAAAATAATTCAAACTAGTTCCCTCTAGATCTCATGTTAATTAATTTGAAGACTACACTAATCTGTTGGAGGGGTTTTCTCCAGGAATAAGTTTTCTAAATGTCTTATTCACAGATTGCAAACACTCCCAATTTGTTGTGTTTTCAACACTAAATATTGATCTTCCCCCCCGCCCCGGTATAATAAGGTAGAATTAAAATTATTCTCACCACTATGCAGATAGGAGAATGCTGTAAATTCTTAATTTTGATGCTCAAAGAATACCTGTATGTAAAGGGAAATAATGAGTCTGAGCAGTTCTGTGGGTTTTGTTGCTGCTATTGTTACCAGTTGGAGTGTTGTCCTCTGGTGGATGCTGTGTGTGGCTCACAGAGTTGTGCTGAGCTCTGGTGTCCCTCAGCAGTGCTGGGCCTTGAGCTGCTCCATCTCAGTGCATTCCTTCACAGAGCTCAGTGAAAAACTTGAATGTTACTGGAAACCTTTCTCTAAAGAAAAGACTCCAAATCAGAGTCAGAAAACTCAGCTTGACTCCTTAGTAATATTAAATTGCACCTATTTATGTGGAAATGGAGACAGTGGTGGAGATTACATTCCAAACTGCCCTGCTGGGCTTTGATCTGTACAAATTGCCATTGGCTTTCAGTGACGAGTCCTTAAAGAGTGGATGATTATTTAAACAACCTCAAACCTCTCCAGTGAACTTCCCAGTGCTGTCTTTATTTATGCTCTCCTGTTCCCAGGACACCCATCTGTCCTGGCTGCTCCACATTGTTTCTAGCAAGCCGTATTTTCTGAGGTATCCATGGCAATCCAGTGTTTTAATTTTGATTAGCCAAACTAATTTCAGTGTTTTTACATTGCTGAGGTCATGTGTAAACTTGCACTAGTTCAGTGAAGTGAGCTGTGTATAAAGGATTTTGTTTTATTTTATGATTGTTTATTCAGGGTCTACTTTAAAGGTTTTCCTAATTAAATTTAGCTAGAATTACTCTTTAAAATAGAAGAGGAATTACCAGTTTTTTACCAACTTTAACTAAATCTTTGACAATGTATCATTTTCAGAGTAAGGAGCTAAGGAAAATTAAACTGCAACAGATCAGAATTATTTTGCTTGAGGAAGAAAAGCTTGAAGTAATGAGCTGTAGAGTGGATTCCACATGTAAGTGATTTCTCAGACTCTAGTTTGTGTTAAAACAAGGTGCTTCACAAGTAAGCAGCTTGTGCAAGTAAAAATAAGGAAATAAATACTGAAGTTGTGAAAACTGACAAGCACAGGAGCAAAAATCTTCCTAATATATAAGAGCTGAGTAGTATCTACAGCTATGCATCAGATTTTGTGACCACTATATTTTTATGATATGCAGATTAAGGTACACAATATCTTTGTCCACTTAAGTCACATTAGACACCAACCACTGACTTAAGACCTGTTCATGTTTTTAAGACTTGTCAAACTAGTTAGCTGCAGTCTAGTGAAAATGCAACCTACATCAGATCCATAAATCAATTACATTTGTAGGAATGCACCTTTTTTTTAGTTATTAATGGTGCAGGTAATGTTTGTGGGGTGTTTTCTGTTACA